GAGGACAGAATGCTTTTTTTTGGTTGTTGTTGTGAAAGACCATGAGCCCAATCAAACTGATATTTTGGCACAAATTCAACTGAAAATCTGGCTAATACAAATACAGTATTTAGGCCAGTACTCTTTTTGTGGATGGTAAAGCACACTTCTATATTTTGTTTAAAAAAAAAAATCCCATTTATTATATGTCAATAATTTGCATGTTGTTGAGCGATCATAGAAATATTATACATTTCAACGTTTGGTTGTATTTTCATAATCTCTGTTAGATCATCTGTTTTTTTATATCTGGTCATTTATTTATGTTTAGATATGCCACATGTTGACTGCTGTTAATGAATCCACAGTAATTAATAATAATAATAATAATAGCAGTAGTAATACATTTTATTTGCAATGCACCTTTCTCATACTTAAAGTTGTAATAAATAATAAATGTAATACATTTTTCAATAGACAAATAATATTGCAAAAACCTATCACAAATTTAATTTAATTTAATTAGAATTGTGAGAGACCTACTGTACTTTAAAACAAAGACAAAATGTGTTTGCTGGTCTGTGCTTTGTCTTAGAAAAAAATTGTTTAAGCTGCCACAGAGAAGTCTGTTTTTACCTCTCGTTTGCATTTCTGCATGTCGTCTATCATATCTTGTTAACCCTATCCTTGCTTCTGCTTTCTACAATGTTGTTAACTCAATTCTTGATTCTAAGAGATCAGGTTTACAGCAAGCAAACATACAGACTGGCCGTGGCCTTTGGTGAACTATTTCCTGTTTGAGGTAGATGCAGAGCTCAGGGGAAGTCCTGGTATATACCCTGGGGTTTTGCTTCAGTGGTAATAGTTGAAAAGAGGCTATGTGAGGTCTTATAATGACCTGTTCACACAGGCTGAAACGCTACAATCCCATGTAACCAGTCATTGTCTCGTTTAGTTGAGCTTTCAGAACAGAAAACATTTCACAATGTATTTTTGTTCAGTGGGACGGTTATTTGGTCACACAGATGCTGTTCAATTTGTTACCTCTTCTTCTAATGATATCAAGTTTCAGGCTTTCTGAAAATGGCAAATTAGGGTATTCTTTATCATACTTGCAAAATTTTCACATCTTACAGGTTACACATATTATATTATTATTCATGAGGCAGTTAAATGAGCATGTATTTTAGAGAAAACAAAATATTTACTATAGCACAAATTTTTTTATATGCATATTGCAATATTGTTTAAAAGTAAAAATGTCAATGTTAAATGTCTGCCACATGAAATTTACTGGTTTATTAAGTCCTTTAACATAAAAAGGCACCTAAAGACAGGTTGTGAGTGTGGAGTGTGTGGGTGGTTATTTTTATTTTTTTTATCTTGTTTTAAAATGCACGTTTGTTTTTTCTCTCTTTTTTTTTAAAGGAAAATAATGCAATTGTGCATATTGCAATATTGTTTAAAAGTAAACATGTCAATTTAAATGTCTGCCAGATGAAACATCCTGGTTTATTAAGTCCATTGCCGTATTTAAACAGGGAGAAAATAAAGGTCATGACCCAGAAATCAATGGGTCACAGATTTGTTATTGCAATATTGCCAAAAAATAAATAAATAAATAAAAATAAATAAATCTGGTGTAGAAACAGTTTTCACTCAAAAATTGCTTGTAAATTTCGCACATAATTACAAAGAAATGGTAAATGGATGCAATTTTGAAGTAGAAAGCCTGAAATAGCATTTTCCCATAAAACGTATTCCAAAAATGTTGAAAAGTCCATATTATAGTCCATAGTTTTATTAACTTTTAAAATGAAGACAGAAATGCATCCCATATCTTTTGTTGTTTATATCAAAGGTTGTGTGTCCAAACAATATTTTGTCATAAATTCATCTGTTACCTGATAGAAGCCAGTCAAATGAAGGAAATATGTTTATCTTCAAAAACCATTAACAGAACTAGATCAAGGAAAATATGACCCAGGCTGTATTATACTGAAACACTTTCTGTTTAAAGTTCATCCTAAAAAATGTTATGCTTTTTAAAGCAGTATTCTCACTTCAAGAAGCAACCGCAGTGTGTATGAGACACTGATGTGTGAGAGAAGTGTGAAGATCACCTCTCTCACGCAGCTTCTTCTCTGGGTCATGTTAAAAATCATAAAAATATAATTTCATCTCATTTTACACATGCAGTTCACGCTGTCACAGACCTCATGGAGTCATAGTGTGAGTGCATAGCATATTAGATTAAAAAATGACAGTCCATGGGAAAATATTAGCACACCTTGGCTCTTATGCAACCACTCATAGAATTCAAACATGTTGCCATCATATGCTCGCTTAGGCCTGCACAGTACAACATGCTTAATGAACTTGCGTGCAGTGGTTCCACACAGTGGAATAGCATTAAACAATATTCATTTAACAATAAACTTAGCTGGAATACTACAATGCGTTTTACTTCACTAAAACGTGCCCCCCTCCGCCACCCCCCCTTACCTGTTCGCGATAAGCACACCTCTGTGAAAAAGAAGTGTGCTTAAATGTATTGAAATTGCACTTGTAGTGTACTTAAAAGTATATTTTTTAAAAACTGTACTTGCAAATTATGCAACATTAATGAAATAAAAGGCAAATTTAGTGTTCTTTAAGAGAATATACTTTTATGTCAAAAAAGTATTCATGTAGACCAAATATATAATATAATATATTTAATGAATGGATTAAATAGATACAGCAGGTAAAATAAGTATTGAACACGTCACCATTTTTCTCAGTAAATATATTTCTAAAGGTGCTGTTGACTTGAAATTTTCACCAGATGTCAGTAACAAACCAAATAATCCCCATACAAAGAAAACAAAACAAATAAATTCAGAAATTAAGTTATGTGCAATAAAATGGAATGACGCAGGGAAAAAGTAATGAACAAGCAAAAAGGCATGGAAGGCCAACACACCAGCTGAAACCTATCAGTAATTAGAAAGCAATCCTGCCCCTAGTCTGTGGAAATTAATATTAGCTGGTTCAGTCCCAACACCTACAGTACCAGGATCATGAAGATGAAACAAGTAGGGAGGGGCGTATCGATCCGAAGTATCGATATATCGATACTGACGCGAGTATCGAAAGTATACGCGAGTATCGATACTCAAACAAACAATATCGATACTAAGGTGCGTTTTATTTACCAGTGGTTTTGTTTATTTAACAAAAATAATAATAATAATGCGTACAATATGCATTGAATTGGACGAATAACCTTTGTTAGCGAGTAATTGTGTAGGATAGAACTACTTTCCTGCTCATCTGAACACACGCAAATGTTGTAAGACAGAACCAATCAATCACAGAGAGCATTCACTCACTGCTGACAGTGCATTCAAACAGGGCTGCGTTTCCCAAAAGTATCATAAGAAAGCATTAAAGCTTTTGGGAACAGCAGCCCTGAACTATCAGAGGACAGAAAAAAAAAACATAAATGTTTGAGTTATTTCACAATAAACAAATTGAAATTGTAGCCTACATAGTTTGTGCAGTTACAGTTATTTAAATTGAACGTTGAAAGATAATATAGATCATGTTCTATTCTGTAATGTTAATAGAAATCATACACTGTCAGAATAAAAAGGTTGCATTTTATGCATGCAACAGCCATTCACTGGCAGTCCCTAATGGCAGTACAAAATATTGCACTAAATCAAAAGTTCAAATGTTACAAATAAGTTAGAATATTAATGTTGTAATACTGGTAGCACTAATATAAAAATGTGATGATATATGTTACAAAAAAGTAACATTTCTGAAATGCGTTGATGGTTGTATTTTTTTGTATTTGATCTCAGTATTCCTATCAATGTTGTATAAGGGTTTTTTATGCATAATAGTAAGCCTAGAATGTGATCAAACAGTTTAAAATAGCTGGGCTAAGATATATAACAATTTTTAAGACTGCAGAAATATGTTAATTCAGTATACACATTATCCCACTGGTTACAATTGTGACTGACCATAAAATAAAAATTTTCACACACTTCCAAAAAAAAAATAAATTATTGATTATTTCAAAGGGTTACTAATGACACATCATTTGGATATTTTCATGTCTGGGAAAAAATTGGGATTAAACGGGTTAAAATGCGTTTTAAACATAAAGTTAAGTGGTTTTCATTACCCATTTTACTCTTAGTAATTTAATAATTTCATAAATTTCATAATTTAAAAGTTTAGTGCAGAAGTATCGAATTGGTATCGATATCGACGATACTGCCTTGAAAAATATCGGTATCATATCGAAAACAAAATAAGGGGTATCGCCCATCCCTAGAAACAAGGGTGGACATTTCAGCAAGACTGATCCCAAACACAGCCAAGAAAACTCTCAACTGGTTTCAGAAAAAGAAAATAAAGCTGCTAGAATGGCCCAGCCAATCACCTGACTTGAATCCAATAGGAAATAAGAACTAAAAATCAGAGTTCATAGAAGAGGCCCACAGAACCTTCAAGATATGAAGACTATTTGTGTGGAAGAATGGGCCAAAATCACACCTGAGCAATGCATGCAGCTAATTTCTCCATACAGGAGGCTTTTGTACAAAGTATTAAATAAATTTCAGTAGTTCAATACTTTTTCCCTGTGTCATTCCATTTTATTACTCGTAACTTCATTTCTGAACTTATGTTTTTTTTTTTAATGTATGTATGGATTACTTGGGTTGTTACCGACATCTGGTGAAAATTTCATGTCAACAGCACCTTCAGAAATATATTTACTGGGAAAAATGGTGACATGTTCAATACTTATTTTACCTGCTGTATAATATATTTTATGAACGTAAAAGTTTCTCGTTTTTTATTGCTAAATCTAAATGAAAGGCAAAAAGATTGCATTTTCAAAACAAACAAAAAAAAAATAAAAAAAAATAAAACATGGCTTTAGCATATGTTCTAACTATATTCCTATATCATTCTTTGATTTTGGATGCTGATAATCCAAAAATATGCTCTTTTTACAGATTGAAAGCTCTGGCATCAACTGGAGGCAGAAGTGTTCAGCTGGCATGTGACTGGTGAGCTTTCCTACACTTTTTTCTCAGCCTGCTTGAGCTCGCTTTTCTTGAGGAATAGTACCACCCTCTAGTGGTTCATATGAGTCAATCCAGTTTTTCTATGCATAAAGCAATTCTTGTTGACAGTTATAATTACACAGGCTTTATTTGCTGGTTTAGCTGTGCTGTAGCCTTCATGATCATGTGCATGTATCTCCATAGGCTTTTCTCTCATTTGGATGACCCTTTCCTGGATGACCCTTTACCCAGAGAGTATGTGCTGTATCTGCGCCCTAGTGGGCCTTTACAAAACCAGCTTTCTCATTTCTGGCAGCAGTCTCGCTTAACTTGTGGAAAAAACAAAGCTCACAACATATTCCCACACATCACACTCTGCCAGTTCTTTATGGTGAGTCACAGTTTCTATTTTAATCTTGATTTATTATTCTTAAGTTGTGTAATTTTACATTTCTTCATTTTATGTGTTTGTAGTGTCCAGACAATAAACTAGTGGCTCTGTGTGAAGCTCTGCAGTCTGCAGTGAATCAATGGAGAGGACGCTTCCCCAGCCCCCTGCCCCTGGAGCTCTACACCTCCACCAACTTCATAGGCCTATTTGTGGAGGAGCAGGTGGCTGAGGCGCTGAAGAAGTTTGCGGCTGACTTTGCGGTGGAGGCTGCTGCTAAAGCTGGTGGGGAGGCGTGATCAGAGCATTTGTCACAGATGGTGCCTGCATAGTGCTCACGTTTAATTTTTTTCTAATCGGCTCATTACTCATCCTCATGGCGTTCGTTATCCATATGACTTACTTTCTTCCATGGAACACAAATGAAGAAATCTATCAAGTTCCAAGATGCTTTTTTCAATATAATGAAAACAGGGTATTTACAAAAACTATCAGCAAATAATGACATGAATTTTAGTCTGTTCTGTGTTGTTACTATTAACTAAAACAGTTTTCATTTATTAAATGATCAAAAAACCTACAAAAAAAATATATATATATAAATATTGCCTTTGCAACTAAGTTTAAGTACTAAAATTACTCAAACTAAAACTGAAATATAATAAAGCTAAATAGAAATATATATAAAAAAAAAAGACAAACATTACTAACATTTAAAATAAAATTCAAATGAAAGCTGAAAATATACATATAAAATATTAATACATATTATAATAGTATATAAATAATACTAAAATAACATTGTTCTGTTCCTTACACAAAGCTGTCATGTGGCTTCAAAAAACATATATAGTGCACATAATATAGCAAACAACTGTATGGACTACTTTTTGATGATTTTATGGTGCTTATTTGTCCTTTTTGGAGCTTGACATCCCCTGGACACTATATGCTTTCAATGCATGGATTGCAAATACAGCAAATACATTCACCTTTTATGTTTTACTGAAAAAAGAAAGACATGAGGGTGAGTAAATGGTGACAGAATTTAAATTTTTGAGTGAACTATCCCTTTAAATCTGTACTTATCAAAGATAAACTGTAAATCAAACATTCTAGGTGTTTTTTCCCTTTTTAAACCGTGTTCTAATGAAATGAACTGATACTTATTCATTGATCAAAATACTGTGTATCTGAATAGAGAATAAATTCATAAAAATGCTCACGACACTATTTGTTTCATAGATGTTCATGTGGAACCCCATAAAAAGCAGCTTCATTTGACTCTAGCCTATCACTTCCCAACCAATCATTATTCTATCTTGGAAAAGTTGGCAAGAGGGATTGAAGTCAAGCTGGGATGTGATTGGCTCGCTGCCCTCTTCTCACGAGACATACGATTTGCAAGTCACGAGGTGAGTTGAGCCTTATGTCTTTTAAATCTTCTTTTCAGTTTGAATGTTTTGCTAGTTTACTGGAATGCACTTTAATGCAGAATTACCTCTGTTTCATTGTCAGACTTTGCGAGTGATGTACCCCTACACTCCTCAGAACGACGATGAGCTGGAACTGGTGCCTGGAGACTTTATCTTCACGTCTACAGTGGAGCAAATGAGCACTAGTGAGGGCTGGGTGTACGGCACATCTCTGAGTACAGGCATCTCTGGCCTGCTGCCTGAGAACTATGTGAGCCCGGCTGATGAGTCTGACACGTGGGTCTTTCATGGGTAAGTTCTCCAAAAGATTTGCTGTGCAAGTTTGATAGTTCTCAGCACAACTTATCAGGATTACTTGCACGTATTTAGGGTTCAAGGGAAGGTTCACCTAAATTGTACTCATCAGCTCTTCGAGTAGGTACTTCTTTTGAATTAAGTTATTACTTCACAAACGTGTCTAGTATAATTTTAATCCAGATCTACTACATTTGGCATGTTTTCCTACCAGCGTCAGCTGCATCGCTTTACTTCCATTCACAAATACTGTCCTGTGGCCTAATGGGATAGTAAAGTGTCTATTGGATGCATTTATCTCTATGCTCTTTAAACAGGTCACACTCCTTCTTTTGTACTTCCCCTTCGGAGAAGGGTTGCAAGGAGAGCAAATCATTGGATGGGCTGCTCAACATTCGATGCTTTGAAAACTCAAAGTTGGGAGAGTCTGCCATCTTGAGTGTTATTTGCCAACCTATGCAGGTGCCTGTTACTGTACATTACAGCAATTAAAGTAACACGTTTGACTGTTGGGTTGGTGCAGTTACAGATGATTTGATAATTTATTAAAGCATTTCTGTGCTGTTGATGATAGGTGCTTCGCTCAAACATCCAGTCTCGGACCCCTAAAAGGACCTTGTTTGTATGTCGGCATGGAGAAAGAATGGATGTTGTGTTTGGGAAACACTGGCTCTCACAGTGTTCCGAATCTAAAGGTAATCCAGAGAGATGGATCATGGCGCCTCGCTCACATGGTACAGTTAGTTTGCAAGCTCAGTTTGTCTTCCTGTAGGCAGGTACGTGAGAAGTAACCTGAATATGCCCGCTGCACTACCTGCCTGGGGTGGAGCACACAGGGACTATGAAATGGATGCTCCTATCACAGTGGTTGGAGCTACACAGGCTAAGATAGTGGGTATGTCTGCTCAGTGTTATGATGTTGAGATGAATTCTCCAAGTGAATTGTATATCATGCTCTTTTTATGTCATCCATCTGATTTCCAGGTGAGGCTATGCTGGAAAGTAATACCACTATTGATTTTGTGTACTGCTCACCCAGCCTCCGATGTGTCCAGACAGCTCATGAAATCCTCAGAGGTACATACTGTAGTCAGGAATCTGTTGGCAGCAGTGGTCTACATGTCTACAGGAAAATTCCAATAGGAGCATGTAAATGTCTTTTAGACCAGGGGTTTTAAATCTTTAAATGCCATATAGACTCCATTCTTAAAATATAAAAGGCAGCTATATCTTTTCATGTATAAAGACCAACTTTATACTGTGAAAATATAAAGATATTATAAATACACAATTGTTCAGACAGCAAGATTTTTGAAAGAAAAAAAAAACTTTTATACAGCAATGATGCATTAAATTGATCAAAAGTGACCGTAAATACATGTATAATGTTTAATTATACAATTTAAAATGTAAAAATGCTGTCAAAGAATCCTGAAAAAAAAATCTTGGTTTCCACAAAAGTATTGAGCAGCACAAGTGTTTTCATAATAAAATTGGTAATAATAATATAAAAAAAATGACTGAGCTTCAAATCAGCATATTAGATTAATTTCTGAAGGATCATGTGACACTGAAGACTGGAGTAATGGCTGAAGAAAAATTTCAGAAAAATTTGCAATCGCAGCAATAAATTACTTTTTAAAATATATTAAAATAGAACACTAGACTAAATTGTAAATGATTACTGAATTGTAATAATATTTAACAAAACATTTTTTAGTCTGTATATTTGATCAAATAGATGTAGCTATGGAGAGCATAAGAAACTTTAAAAACTTAAAGAACTTACAAAATATTACCAAGCCCAAACTTTTGAACAATAGCTTGTTTATAAAATATGATCTGGAAAATATTTATTTCTATAAGTTACGCTTTTTCTTTTTTTCTATCCACAAGTAGATTAACATTATAATTCTGGCCATACAACGCTTGTATTAGACTAGAATTTTTCAGAAAGTTCTATGCTGCTTCAGAAATGGCACACGGTTTTCTACGGTACATCTTTATCGACATGTTCACTTTATTCCTCTACTTGTCATTAAAATTGTTACAATTTAAAATTGTTAGTATTTAAATCCTCTCCGACCCCAATGCCATGTGCACCTTTTCTAGGAATGCAGCAAGATGGCAGAATAAGCATTCGAGTAGAGCCTGGGCTTTTTGAGTGGACTAAATGGGTGTCAGGAACATCTTTGCCTGCTTGGATACCCCCCACAGATCTTGCTGCGGCCAACCTTAATGTAGACACAACATACAGGTAACAGATGGAGTGATCATATGCAGTGTAGGAGCTGTTTACATTTCAAATTCAGTCCTGATCGACAGTTGCCTTCCCGCAGACCTCACATCCCCATTAGCAAACTAACCGGCTCGGAGGCATATGATACGTACATTAATCGCAGCCACCAGGTGACCAAAGACATTTTGGCATACTGCAAAAATAAGGGTGAGTGATTAGAAATATTGCTTTTAGTACATGACCCTCACAGATCTTTACCAACACCCTCCTTTTTTTACATCAGGAAAAAATATTCTGTTTGTGGGACATGCTTCTTCTTTGGAGGCCTGCACTCGCCAGATCCAGGGCCTCTCTCCTCAGAATCCTAAGGATTTTGTGCAAGTAGTCCGAAAGGTTAGTTTCATCCTTTTTACTTTAAACATTTGATCTTTACACTTTAAACATGATGCTTAATGGGAGCCGATCTTTCCGTCCAGATTCCATACCTGGGTCTGTGTGCCTGTGAGGAGCAGGGGGACTCAGGAGTCTGGCAGCTAGTGGACCCACCAATTCTTCCTTTAACTCATGGGCCCAACCACAGCTTCAGCTGGAGAGAGACCTTACAGCAAGAATGAGCTTATCTGCAGGGTCTGTCCACAAGAGACTGAAATGTTACCTGCACTGGAAGCACAAAACTGAGAATATTTTTTAAACAGATCTAATCTGTCACATCCAGTTTAAATTATGCAAATAAGATATGGGATGTGTTTTTATTTGCAGGTGGAATAATTAACATTTGTGATCATGTTTACTGAGCCTTTAAAAGGCTTTCTCAGGGCATTGGCTATCACTTTTAAAAAGTCGAAATGCACCATGGCATAATGCAGCACTTATTGTAAAGATTAAAGATCACTTCCTGCCATGCAAACATGTACAATTTTGCAATGAGATGTTAAAGAACTTAAAAGCAATCATGTCTTAATCATTTATCTTGCAACTGTAACTTGAATGCATAAAAAGTGTAATATTTGTTTTAGCATAGCTGAATGGATATCAAATGTATTTGTAATATCTTTACATTAAAGCTGAAGTGTGTAATTATTAATTTAAAAATATTAAAAAAAGTTTTGTATTAATGTGCACAGAAAAACTGTATGAAAAGCCAAATATAGGATGTTGTTTTTTTCCTGAAAAGTGTTAACACTGTAGTGGCTATAACTGCTTTATTGTTTGTGAAGCCTGACACAGCAACATGGCTCAACCAATGGCGTGAGATTAGGGCAGGGCATATTTTCTTAGCGATAGATGCTATTTACACTAAGTGAAAATAGCAGTATTTGTTTTGTGATGTTTTTATTTATACGATATTAAAATAGCAGGATATTCTGCTAATTACTTATTGCCAATAGTGGCAATTATCTATTAATTTAATAGCCTTTGCCAACTATTTTTTTTTATTCCCAACAGTTAAACAGTTGACCACAGAAAAAAAAACATGGGGAAAATAAAAAATATGCTGCAGCACCCCCACTTCCTGCGCCTATGATGTATACACAGAGGAATGGCTTACTACTATTAGTGCAACAGGGAGACCATGCCAAATTAAACAACTCCAAGCTGTTGTGGTCGCGCCGTGACCGCTCGTGTCCGTTGTATCCGTCACAGTGTTGCCACGTCCGCGGTTTTCCCGTGGAATTGGGCTACCTTATCACTGTTGCTGCGGGTTGTTTTTCATGTCCGCGGGTTGAAGCAACCCCGATAACGTGTATTTTAGCCCCAGAACGCGATTTTTACCGGGAGAACCCTCGAAACGCGGTTCGTTTTGAGTAGCAATTGGGCGGGTTTTGTTATGAAAACCTGGCAACCATTTCCCTCAAGCAGGTAACGTTATTATTGCTAACATAGCGGATTTATCGAAAAATACATTGGCATCATCTGTATTAAAGAGAAACTAATCACTTCATCCGATGTTTAAGTGAAGAAATTAGCCTTGACAGCCTTACTTACTGGACTTCCTCAACTATTGACTTTGTTCTCTCTCACCGGACTTGTGTGTGTGTAGGTGATGTAAAAGATGAAAGCTAGGTGATGTAAAAGACGAAAGCAGGCATTTGGACCAAAGTGCAAGGGAGGGGGAGACTCAATTTTTGTGTTGTTTTACTACTTACAATTGATTATAAAAGTATAAAACATTTAATCATAGGCCTACTTTTAGGGGGGACAACCCTCAGTAGGGGGATCCTGTAAAAGGGCACGAAAGTCTCAATTCAAATGAATCAAATAGAATCGATTCAGAAGAGAAGTCAATGAAGTCTCAAAATCCAAATGAACTGAACAAGATCGACTCGAACTAGACGTCATTTAATGCACGCGTGTCACCTGATCCACATATGGACAGATTCCTTTTTGCATGAGCAATTTATGATATATTAATGCAGAACAGAACATTTTTATTCGCAAACATGTCTGTATTTGTAAAAATCGCTGCACAATCATTTAATCCAGAATTCCACAGACTCAAATGGAAAGGCGTTGTTTGTGGTTAGTAGCTAAAATACATGTATAAAATGTATGCAGTAGCCTACATGGATAATTGTGCGTGCATCTATTAATCATTTTGAGTCTAATATCATCCCATACACTTGAGCCGACTTGTTTTTATGAATAGGTTATTTGGAGCAAAATGTTTGAAAGGACCGATTCGCGGAAATGATTCGAACGAGTGACAGCCGTCTTCTACTTCATGGCGGCTGGCTGACTGACTGACGGCGCCTTATAGTCAGCAGTAGTTACAAAAAAAATGTGAGTATATTAACAGTAAATTATCAAATTATAGAAGGCTTTTTCTTGTGTTAATGTTAAGTTTAAGCCACAATAACTGAAACTGAGAACTACAACTGTTTGATTTTTATTTTTAAGTTTGAGCTTTAGACTTAATCAGTCCCTTAAGCCACAGGGAAAAACACAAGAATGGTCCGGTTTCTTAAGGACAACAATATTAAATATTTAAATTAATGTACTGGTTTAACCTCAGGTATCTTGTCATATAGCTTCTTCCTTCGACCTGTGATTTGTGGGCTAATCTGATCTATTAGACATATTTGTTCTCTTCGATAAACATGCCCTCTAGTAACATCCTGAAATTAGATTGAACAAATGCAGCATTGATGCATTTGTTCAATTACAGAGAGCTGGTCAGTTCAGGTCAGCTACTGTTAGAGGTCCTTAAAGAAGAGAGTGGTTTCAATAGCAAACAGCAAACATGGAAGTATTTTAGATTAGTTGTGTTAAGTAGGCGCAGTTTTAAAACATTATGAACTGCAAGTACATTTGGTAGTGTGCTTGCATTTATTTGTGATAAATGAAGACAATATTGGCAAATATCTTTCAATTTAGATCTTATTGGCAGAATTAACATAAATTACTCTCTGATGAATCTTTCAAGGCCTAGTGGCGTTTTAAGACTTAGTCATAGTAATTTTAAATACTTGAAGTATACTTATCACATAGTGATGAGCCTGAAGCAGTTGTGTTAATGTCCTCTAATTACACAAGCTGTAAGCAGCCTTTTCCCCCCTTCCTTTCTGGTTGGCACCTGCAATCTTTCAGAAATGGGCCGGTTGGACCTTTCCCTGATTAATGGGTGTGATTGGCAATAGAGGAAACTGACAAACGATTGGAGGATTTCATTCCTCTAAAAATCCAAGTCATTATTGGAGAGCAGTGAATCTCTGCAATCTAATAATGCTCTCAGTGTTCTTTTCAAGCTTTTAAACTAATTCGTGATTGATCACTAATTATCGGTGACGGAGCCTCTCGAGACAGCACTTTCCAGCTCCGAACGTTTGTTCCTATCTTAAAGCAGTTTGAAAGGAGCTATAACTTCCAAATGGTTGACTCTGCTCCCTGGTGGAGAGTCAATAGGCCGCTGTGAGACGTTTGAGTGAACATTGATGTTCTTTGCCAATATGCAATATTGCCTCTCAACAGAATAAAACACCTGGAACTGGCTGTCTGGTTTTGATGGGACCGTAGTCGGCAATCAGCAGTGTTACTGCTCTTATTGAACCTCTTATTGGGTATTTGTATAGTGCTCCCCACACGCACTTTAGCAGCCAGATAAATCCACATTCTGTAATTGCGTGACCATTGATTTCAGTTCCAGTCAAAAAGGGAGAAAAAAGGGAAGTGCCCTCTTAAAGACAAGACATATATTAGAGTAATGCCGATGGCAAAGGCACGTATATGTGGAGTGAAAGGAGCACGCACACACACACACACACACACACACACACATACAGAGTGTGTGAAGACACTGAGCCCCTGGCTCTGCCTTTATGAGTCAACAGACATCTCACCGGAATAACGTTTTCTTTTCAGTGTTGATATTTGATATTGCTGTCTTTACACTTCACTTTTCTTTCAGAGACAGAATAAGTGAGCTTTGTAGCTTTGTTTGTTTGTCACTGAATGTAGAAATAGAGAGGTTTGCGAAGTTCTGTTTCTACAAATTATGGACAAATTGTACAGTTCTAACCATCCTAACCACGACATTTCAGGTAAGTCTGCCAGTTTTCTTGCTTTTTATGTGAAGAGAAAAAAAAACATATTAAAAAGTATATATATATATATATATATATATATGTATATATAATTTTTAGTGGATTTTGTTTAACATTTTTGTTAAGGAGTAGTACATTAACTTGAATTTTAAAGACAAGAAAAGGAAAATGTAGTTCGGTTTCATTCACACATCTATTATATAGGCTTTGAAAAGTGTTTGCTTTAATTTCAGATATCCAAAAACATTTTCAACACATCTAAATGTCATAGGGAATGAAAAGAGCTGCAAATTGGAGCATATACTACAGTGCTAATCAGGAAGGTCCTCAGGAACTTCCATTTATTTCCAGTAGGAGGCAATAGAGCTTCGTACTGTGCAATGCATGCACCGTAGCTACTCCACTGCTTCATGCAACATCAGTGTAAGACCTGTGAATTTTCTACTTTTTTTGCTTGCTGTAAAGCTCATTTAGTTCAAGGCCAGTTTTTAGACTAGGTTGTGCAGGTGTTTCTAGTCTATTAAGAAAAAAAGAGGTAATGAAAATTTGCAATTAATTTGCCATTTACAGTCTATGGTTTACACAGATTACTTACTATAATAAATATTTTTAAAAATAACTAAGTATTTTTAAAAAAATATGCAAAAAATATCTCAAGTTTTCGTAGCAACGTGATCAAATACTGCCATCTGCTGTCTCTAATTCTTTTAAATGAGCATCATTAGTTTCATTATATTTTTGTGGAAGAAAGAATATGCAAATACTTAAAGTGTGATAAATATAATTTGTTTGCACGTAGAACAAATGACCTGCACCGTAGCTGCTGCTGTTTGCACAGATCTTTGTTCCAGGCTCATCAGGTTAGTAGCTTTATTAATGCACACAACTGGGAGAGATTAGGGTCTGATTTACTTACCATGACAAATTAAAATAGTCCACTCATTGTTTGTTGAGATTTAGCTGTTTTAAATGTGTCCTTTCTTTTTTATTTGCAGATGAAACACAGATAACCACATGCTATTCAGCATCAATGGAACAGGCAGCAGCTGCCTTTGCATCGCAGTTAAGCCACATTCTTATTTGTTTTCACTTCGTAAAGTCATAGGGTCAGTGCAGTGGTTCGCCGGTCAATGCTGCTGTGTTATGGCAAGGCGTGACCCAAGAAAGGCAGTAAATGTACCGCCCTTGTTCTTGATGTAGTTTTTATGTACGGACAATGTGAGCAGTTTGTCTGACTGAAGTGGTGATTAAAGCTGACAAATAGGACCAGGGCTAAGAGCCATTGGCTGAATCCACGCTAGGGTCTCTTAAAGCCTAAAGCCTAATTGGCATTATTTTGGCTTTGAAGGGTCACAGGCTTAAACCTTTTATTGTGGTCACCGTAATGCCAATCTTCCTCCCCCACTTCTGCACCTCCCTGCACCGTTTTGTTCTTACCCAGTCAGACAACCACCTTCACCTCAGCGCAAGTGCTCTTTTTACCTCCTTTTTTTTCCCCATAACCTTTGACCTTATGGACCGATCTGCAATCATCTGGAGCAGTCCTCCCCTATTTAATTCTCTCCTTTGTAGTCACTCTGACACCCGGCAAACTAATTGGGCAATTTGTTTATGGAAAACATTGGAGGTTTTGTGTAAACATCTTTTGAAATTGTTTCAATAATATTACCTAATTAATGAAAATTTGTAATGAACTTGTATTCAACCGAATAAACCATTTAGGATGCCCTTTTAGATTTTACCTAAGGTTGCTGTATATTTTAAGACTCACTTTTACAGTGTGTGAAAAATAGCAAATATGATATTATAAAGACAATGTGATGTTTAAATATTAAATAATTGGCATTTATGTTGTCATTGTACTAAGGTTAAAAGAAATAATTAAAATATTATCTTTACTGTTTCTAATTCAATTCAGATTTATTTGTGTAGCACATTTTACAATAAATCCAAAGCGGCTTTAAAGAAAATTTTGAAATACAAATCCCAGTGAGCAAGATAAAGGGTTTTTAGGGGCAAACTCCCTAAAAAGATAAAATACAAGCATAAACTTTACTTGAAAACATGAACATTGCAAGTCTTACACTTGACCCTGGACCCCATTCTGAAAACCCCATGTTCTAGATAATGATGCTCCAGCGTTTTAGAAAATGAACAGAAACTATTTGAGGTAAGACATTAACTTGGTATTTGTTTGGTGCCTACAGGGACATGGTATGATGGACAGGTATTAAGAGGGAAGAGGAATGAAGAGAACGAGGTAGGGTTCTCATTGTAGGGTGGCAATCAGGGAAAGACAGGAAAAAGTGTGTGGGGGAAGAGAAAGTGAGAGTGTGTGAAAGAGGAGAGAGCTAGACGGAGGCTGAGAGAATGTCTCAAAGGACTAATGTCCTCATTGTACAACCTGGTTTGAATGCAGACAGATTCTCTGAGAAATTAGGGCAGGAGAGAGAACCGCCAGAGCATTGCAGAAACACCCTGCACAGATAAACTCCCTTTTCTGAAATGGATAGCATAACATTTAATACCTAATGTGGAAAATCTCATAATTCATTTCTAAATTTTTATTAGAGAAAAATGTAGATTTTAAAAGATAAATAATCAACCTGTAGTTTTGTTTTGATTAATAAAAAAACAACTTGATTTATTTAGTAATTTTCTCTGAATAGAAGCTTGTTCCAGCTAAATCATGTTTTCTAGAATGAGTCTGTTTGTTCTTCAGGCTTATCAGCTCAGCGTGTGTTTGTGAGAGCGGGCTGGAGAATATGAGCAGTGTGATTCCATGGGTTGTGCATGTTTTTGTCTGCGATAGATAGAGTGGTCTGTGATAACTATGCATTTATGTGTGACTACAGCAGTGGTTTGTTTTGCTACACTCGGCAAGCAAAAAAGTCTCATCCGGTTGATCAGTGAAATGGCAAATACAGCAGCATGTACACTGAGACAAGGCGCTTATCAGAGTTACCCAGACAGCTGCACACAGTTAGAAGAGTGAAAACAGACATGCACACATTGAAAAACACCACGGGAGGTGTGTCTTCACCTTCATACTGTAAATCAGTGTTATACTATTTTTATATTTTAAATGTTAATTATCCATAATTGATTTTTTGACCATTTGAATTGCTCAGTTTGCTTACTTTTCTCTTAGAGTTCTGTGAATTTCGTGTTGTAGTTGTTTTGTTTGTGGTGGTTTGTGTTTGTATTATAACTTAACATTGTTAGCATATCTTAACATAGTATAATAGTAAACATAATACATTTCAGTCCTTTTCAGATGCATGGTTATGTAAGGGATACTGTACAATTATTTTTGTTAATGACATATAATTTATCACATGGCTACTTAACAAATAAATAAATACAGGGACCTGAAATATTGACTGGAGTTGAAATTACTTTATCAAGTAAAAAAAAAAAAAAAGAGAGAATTCAGACTGAAAGGCAGACGTGAAATTATAGTAGCACAATGTATCAAATTGTGCTACTATAATGAGTCAAATATAGTGTCAGTTTAATGATTATTATAGAAAAATTGCAGAATAAAGTATTCTAGATTATTAAATAATATAATAGGTAAATTAGTAGTTAAATAGTTAAAGTATGAACATACACTGCCGTTCAAAAGTTTGTGGTCAGTAAGGTTTAAAAAGAACACTATTTAGAAAGGACACATTAAATTGATCAAAACTGAGAGTAAATCCATGCATAATGCTACAAAAGATTTCTATTTCAAATAAATTCTGTAAATAAATTCTGAACTTTCTATTCATCAAATAATATTTTTAAGTAATGTATCGCAGTTAAAAAATTAACCAGCTCAACTGTTTTCAACATTGATAATAAGAAATGTTTCCTGAGCAGCAATTCAGCATATTATAATAATTTCCGAAAGACCATGTGACACTGAAGACTGGAGTAATGATGCTGAAAATTCAGCTTTGCATCACAGGAAAAAACATGTCACAGGAATATTACATATTAAAATCTATTCAAAAAGAAAATAGTTATTTTAGACTGTAATAATATTTCACAGTATTACTGTTTTTATTGTATTTTTAAACAAATAAATGCAGCCTTGGTGAGCATGAGCGACTTTTTTTCAAACACATAAAAAATCTTACTGACCCTGAAACGTTTGAATGGTAGTGTATAAAGAAATAATTTAAGACTTGTTTGAGTTTCAGTAGAGGTCAAGGAGTTCACTAAGGGGGGTGTGCCACCTCTGTTTTGTAAGAACTTAAGAAGAGCAGTAACACAAGTAGGTATTTCACATCTTACTTAACCAGTTGAACACTTTTGCTCAGGTGTCTTTTTACCTCACACATTCCTATTCTTTGCAGAAAAACCACTTTGTTGGGAAAGCCAGTCATTTTGTGATGCCCCGGGGCACATGAAGGGTCAGGGGGTTAGTTAGGTGCCGTTCTCCTAGCAGTGGTTTCAGTGGAAATTGGGAGCCTCCCATTTGTAGTACAGACCTCTTGCCATTTAGCCACCTGCCTCCAATAAAGAAAAGCAACCGGCCGGCAAACTTCAGCGCTTGCCTCGGGCAGCTGGACGTGTTATTGATCGGGTGGGGGGAGGCTCTTTCCCTCCTCTCCTTCTGATGGAGGCTGGACTTTGGTCTGAGCTGCATTCCTGGGTTCTGTTCAGCTCGGAGGCAGAAGGGAGGGAGGATGTGGAGGGGAGGAGGGACCCAGGGGCTGGAAATCACTTGTCATGTGCGTATAAAAGTGTGCCTTTCGTTTCAGAGCATGCTCACTGAGGCACGCTCGGCTCCCACCAAATCCAGCCCCCAAATTTGAACTGGAGGGAGAGGAAGTTACGGAGCTGACTCTTGTGTTGTTGTACTCTGTCTGTTTGGCTCCCACCCTGCGTGGCTCCTTCTGCACCTCTGACTCTACGGTTGATAAGGTGAACGCGGATTACTCTGGACGGCATTGACAGAAATCCATGTGAGATGAGTGCATGCTCTTTTTCTGAGTTGTGGTGTTTTTTGCCCCTGTACAGTTTATCTGTTAAGCCAGGAAAAACTTCATCAGAAATATAAGCAGCAGTTGAGATAAAAATCGGAAAAAGAATGAGGTCAAAGAAACTTTGAAGTGTCGTTGAGCTTAAATGGAAAGAATTGGCTTGTTTGCTTCAGGTCGGCAATCAGTGAAGTATAAGAAAAGGTCAGGAGTGATGTTTGCCTTCTGTTTACGCACTGGCAAAATGTGGTTAGGAGGCTTGGACTTGTGTAATGATGTGGGAAGACACGTGGATACATTCTGAGAACTCCTGCATTGACACAGGGCTCAGAGTTTAGCTAAATCCTCGAGAAGCATCTTATCACCGCTTCATGTGTGGCTGCTCTGATTCAGAGTGAATATCTGTCTGAGATGTGACGGGAGGGCGGAAGAGATTTGTCTCTACTGTGGCCACGTGGGTATGATAAAAGAGGGCAGATTTCATAAAGTGCTGTGCTGTTCACGTGGTTGTTTTTCTGAATTCTTTCAGCATCTCTTTCTGTGGTCGTGTGAAGTTGTATGCTTTTGTGCCCAACAAGCTGTTGACAGAGATTTTGGGGATTCTTACCACTAACATATTCTTGTGTGTTTTAAGAATCTGTGCTCTCATTGTCTTTACACATTATTTTGTGAAGGTGTGAATGGTTAAAATGTTTTGTAGAATGTGGAACACTAATGTACTTGTCACCTGCTACATCTAAAGTAATGAAACAAGGCAGCAGTACTATTATAAGCAGTAACTTATCCAACTCTAATGGGGAATTTTCTGTCATGCTTTATGAGCTCATTAATGTAACCTTGTAGTGCAAAGATATTTTAATTTGACTTTATTTAACTGCATGTTTCAATAGTCTAATCTTAGTTAATGTATCCTCCAACCTGGATGTGTTATTTTGAAGTGTCAGACTAAGAAGATGTCATATTCAAGCCCCCCCAGCTAAGACAATATATGAAGAGTTTGGTTCCAAAACGCTATAAATCCATTTGGATTAATTTGAGTAAAAATGTGTTTTCTTTACCAAGAAAGTGGCAAGATGAAAACCACTATTTTCTGTTTCAAACTTTCACATAGCATCTTTAGGTTATAATAACATTAAAAATTCGAATCCAGATTTTGATTTTCAAATATTTATTATAAAATGTTATTATTTTCCCCCCAAAATGCAATAAATCCATTGAATCAATATAAAGTTATTTTTCATATTGAAACTGTTGAAAATACACAACATAGTAAGTTGATCCACATATGACAGCCTCTGAACTTGGTCAATACTAATCTTATATGCAGGCACTGGACTAAAAATACATTCAATCAGTCATAGCTCCAAAAATAATTCAACAGGTCATCTTGTTAATGCTATAAATTAATTACAACAA